AATGTAAACAAACAAACCAATGTTTCTTAAACTTTTTATCGAGAGTAAAGATGGACAGTATAACCAGACTGATTACAAAATTTCACATTTCAACGTAAATGATTCGCTTTATAACTACTCTTCAGTTTAGTAGTATTCAAGTGCGTAAAAAATTTGGGAATAGCTAGAATTTTGGGTTTCTTTAGTGTCACTTGTTTTATATTATAATTTACTAGATATCTAAAACAAGAAGCACAACGAAATGCAAAAACAGCCATGTCGCACATGTTTTAAACGCAGCCAGAGAAAAGTATTTAAATTTCTGTGAAAAGTTGGCATGCAATAATTTTAACGAGGACGCTTCCCATATAACGTGCACTAATTAAATAAAGTCAGTGTAGACACAAAACCGGTATAATTTGTTTAATAACAAGGTGTTCAGGACCATAGTGAGATACATGGTGCTCGTTATTTTGTGAATTACCTGATACAGCGAGGCGGTGCCCTCCTGTCGACATACCTACATGGTTTGCTGAACACACACAGATAATGAGAAGACTGAGATTTTTATGTCGTGTGTCGTACACGAGTTAGTATAATAAAAGAACATTTTTTTACATGTAGAAGGTAAAACAAATAAGAGAAGAGAAAAAAAAATGAAACTTTATGTTCAAGAATAGGTAACAGTAATCCGAGTTCTCTCATTTGGTTTATTTTTGCCCATCCTTACACAGGCATTGTTCCCCTTATTAATAAACGAGGAAGAAGCTTAGACTAGTTACGTCGTATTTTGTTCACGTCACTTAAGTGTAATTTGTACACACATCAAAAAAAGTTTGCGATCACTTTGAAAAATAGATTATTTTTTGTGTTACGGCCTCTGGAACGGTTCAGCAAAGCGGCAAATCAGTGTCCTTTTGGGGGTAGTATTATGATTGGGGCTAGAACGCCTTTAATCCCTTTATCAAAGCTTCATGACTACAGACAGATACTAAAGAGTCTCGCTATTGATGGAATCGTCAGACCTTTCCGAGTAAACCATAGGCACCAACTTGCACTGGTTGACGATAATGCGCCCGCACATCGAGCTCAACGAGTCAATGCTGCTCTCCGAGAATACGAAATCACAGGATTAGACTGGCCTGCCGGCTCTCCTGACTTAAACCCAATAGAGCATGCGAGGGATGCTCTAAAGCGAGCTGTTTGGAACCGGCAGTCACCACCCCAGACAGTGTCGCAGCTCAGGGAAGCTGCTGTTCAAGAATGGGACAGGTTACCACAAGAAATGCTGGATAACTTGATCTTCAGCATGCTCAGGAGGATCTCCGCATGTGTTCTTGCCAGAGGAGTTATTTTGTATTAGATAAACAACAATTTATTTATAAAAGTTTGATTAAATTAAACTATCTTTTTATTTCTTTCAAAGTTCTATTACAATCGCCTTAGGATTGAATTATAAATTTTTTTGTACTAAAAAATAAAATTAGTTTTATTTTTAATTCCAGAAAGTGTATTTTTTGATAAAAAAAGATATAGCGTAAACATTTTCTCTTGAGTAAGATCAATTTTGAAAATATATCAGCTTGTAAGTGATATCAAACTTTTTTTGATGTGTGTACTTCAATGAACAAAGACAAAACATAAAGTTAGTTACTCTATGTTTTGTCTCAAGCTCATTCTTCGTTTATGAAAAAGGGGGTGAAAGTTTATCCACTATACTATTTGATATCCAACTGCAGTACAATTACGTTCCGTTAACGATCATTCAAAGTAACTTTAACAACGGCCGGTCATAACATGGTATGGGTGACTATAGAAAATCCTACGTACTTCGGAAGGCATTTTAAAAAGTTTTATTTTAAAACGATTTTAGATGCTCTATACTCGTTTTAAAAAAGAGCATGAAAATACTTCGAATTGATGCTAAATATGAATATGTAATGACAGAATATACCTATATTGAACTAAAAATTAAGTTGTGAAAATGATATATAGGATAAACGAATTTGATGACTAAATAATAATGAAGCACAGCGTCATTCAATTGTTTTATTGTAAATAAATGAACACGTTAAACTGCGACAATACAATATCGCAGCAAGCAGTTAACAAACCAGAAATAATGAATAATTCCACAATATATATTTGGAATCGATCCGAATTGATATACGCATACTTATTTAAATTGCGATACGCATTTTTAACCTTTATACGCGTTTTAATGGAAACTCATTGGACGGTTTCATTATTCATTAAACTGACATGAGTTATACGTTAATCATGAAAACCTCAGAATAATAATGAAAACGGATTGTGACAGTTGTGTGCGTGAGTCGCGGCTCTTGTTTCGCCAACTCTGTGTAATTTTTGTCCGGCGTTTTACCCGTTGAATTTACATGCACCAGGCGATCCACGCCTCCCTGTCACTTCATGCATATGTATGGTCTTATGCAAACTGCAACTTTGCTTTTCATTGGATAAAAATAATTCAAACATAGACAGCGTTCGTTCGCGTATTTGACTTACGCTATTATCTGCTTATAGCTCCAACTTTTTGTAGATATATTTATTCGAATTAGCAGTCAGTTGCAAAGTGTAATACTAAAAATTTATCAAATACTTTTAACACATATTCATTGAATACGCATCAAAAACCGCGAATTTTGAAACATACAAGACGAATTCTATTTCTTACATAAAGTTAATTAGGAAAACATATTGAAAGAAAAAAAGAGAATTAAGATTATACCACCATTTTATGTAGTTCATCATAATAGGGATGATGACTATTTTTTTTTCTTTTATCAGGTAGATTATCAAAAAGTATTGGACACGTATTTTTTTTTCACATAATATAAACATCGCATAGATATATTGATTTAAAAAGTCGCATGACGGCACGTTTTGGTACAATTTGCACTTAAAAGTGACGTCACGTTCATGACTCCCAAACTTTGATGCGCTATAACTTTGTCATTTTTTGGTTGAACGCCCAAAGAAAAAAATACGTGTCCATTATTTTTTGATCATCTAATAGACGGACTATATAGAATTTCGTTTACTGTACCCCGTCATCACCCCTATTGATACAAAGTTTATCTTGTAGATTAGGCTGTTGTGCGTGGATCTTATTTCTTGTAGAACTTTATTCTAAAGTATGAGAGTATTCTAAATGCATTGATTTAGTCAAGATTTAGTTTATTTATTTAGTAAATCATATACGATACGGCCAATTTTAATAATTGCAATCTTCAGTAAAAGGTAAGCTTACCTATCTCTAACTATTGTCTGTCTCAAACAGCTGAGTTATATTTTCTTTAATTCGATTTAAATAACAACGGTTGCTAAGAAACGAAATCAGAATAAGCTTACCTTTTACTGAAGATTGATTTATTGAAACTTGCCGCAAACGAGCTTTATTGTTCAGGTATTATATATATTAAATATATATAAAATAGTAATAATTATAACGGTATATTCTTCAGGCACTGTGCGCTTAGAAATAACTGTCTTGAACGGCTTAAATTTTTAAATATCCTTTTCATCTTCTCGATCATTTCTAAGAAACATTCCCAAGTTTCCGGTATTACAAAGTTTTTGAAATTATTATACATACATATTTACAAAGCTAAGAGAAACATTCGTTAATAAGTTTTTAATAAGTTAAGTTAATAAGTTATTAACGAGTTAATACTCATTCTGAATTCAGTATCATTACGGAATTCAGAACACGCATTTATTGTTAAATGTACAATCCAACTTTCCGAATTACAATATGGATTAGGATGTTAATTTATCAGCGAGTGAGCCAGGAAATCAGTTTTCTCCAAAGCACATGTGGAGAGTTTGTCGTTGTCGAGTTCCCCCAGTTGAAGTTCACGCCAACTTGATTCCATACATTCCGTGTATTAGCTTTGAATTAAGTGTTTCAAGTAGCTGGAAAGGCTTGAACATCGGTGTTCAAAGTTGGATTCACTCGCGGTTGTCTTCGCAATTTACACTTATGCCCATTTTCGATATTCTATTTAATTAAAAATAAATTCCCATTTCCCTTGGTTGCTTTACTTACTGATTTCATCGATCTTTTTTTTTTTAACTACACGGTACTTCCGTCAAAATAAAGTTGCACAGAAAATTGGTTAAAAGAAAAGTTATCTTAACTTACAACTATACCCGATACTTAGATTGAAGGCATAGTCTAGTTTAAGTATGTTTTTTAATATTTTGATCGGACAGATCAAAGTCTTTACATAAGGTATAGGCTATGATCTATTAATAATCATCAAGAGGTATATACATTTTTTTTTACTTTTAGTGCAATCATTTTATGTGTTAGCTGTACAGCTATATGCAATAGCGATATTTAAGTACAATTTAAATGCCATTTCATTGATCACAAAATTTATTAAAAGCTACGGAAGTTAACAATATCTCAAGTTGTATCATTTAAAAAAATATTAATCGACCTTTTTAAATAAATATAATGAAATAAAGCTTTACCTATATTATCTTCAATTTCAGATTAACACTACGCAAGACATATAGGTATTAAAAACTGTTGAATATTCGTAGCTACGGGTAGCAACTAAGAGCTTTATTTCGAGCCCTTTTCGTTACTACCTCTGATGATAAGGGATTAAATGAACAGAACTCTTGAACTGTAAGACTATTTTTTACCTGTTTAAATGACTCTTTCATCAAACTTTTTAAATTATTACTATAGTTAAGACACACAAACAATCAAACATTTCCTCTTCATAATATTAGTATAGATTATGTTAAGCGAGGCATCTACAACACAAGTTTTGTTTTACTTTCTAGGGCATTCTCAACATTGTATAAATTGCTTAACTTAAAATAATAAGTCTTTAAAAATTTGGTGCGAGCGTGATCAAGTGGTACTAGCCTAAATGTGTATTTACTTCGATTACAGTTACTGCGGTTTTTTTACTAACAAAAATCCATTGTATTTAGATTTTTCTTTTGTTGTTTATTATTCCAACGGGATTGTACAAACGAAATCCGCAAACAGAATGATGGAGTTCAATCTAAAAGTATTGAAACCCCGGTTTTTATTTACGATAGTAAAACCTGAGTAAATCAGTTTACGCGAATCGATATAGCTGTGACACGATTTCTGGATAAATCTGAAATGTTATGACTGTGTACAATGTTTAAAATGCCACAAGTGGTGACAAAAGTGATTATATTTTAAAACTTTTTGGTGTTGATTGATAAAACTATATAAGTGAAAATATTAAATGCTTATGGATTATTTGACGTTACAGATTTCAAGTACGTGTTTTGTTAAATGTTCGGTACATCCGCTGAATCGCGCTACAGAGATTGTTTTGTGCATACATATAAGGTAAGTTTATAAAATTTTGTTGGTTAAAAGTTGGTGGCAGAATAGAAGGGTGAAAATTTAGGGTTGTATGTATTTTTGTATTGACCACCGTTAACATTTAGGCGGATGAAAAATAATTGTTGATGAGATGATCACATACGCGCGGTACTCCGTTGAGTAGACGTGTCCTAACCAGAAGTAGTATTTTCTCTGACTGAACGGTATTCAGGGGTGCTCAACTGCAATGACAACAGCGTTCGCTTCTTCTCGTTGCGCAAAGTGCAGGGAAGTGGTGGGCCATGGGCCTGAGTGTTTTTCGTGTGGCGGCAAATTTCATTTCGGCTGCAGTGGAATTATGGAGAGGGTATTTGAAAGACTTGGGCAAAATAAGAAGAATTGGTCGTGCTCATCGTGCCGCGAGAATAAACCTAATAATAATAATAATAAACCTAAACCGGCTGCTATTAAATTTGGAAGATGCAATACAAAATATGGATGTTGATTGTGGACTGGACATAGTGAGGCAGTGATAGTGAAGTTAATATTGGCAAAGATATCCAGCCTCGAGACTCAATTCGCCGCTTTCCAATCATTGCAGACGGATATTAAACAAGCCGTGAACGATATAGCAGAGTTGAAAAGTACTTTAGACTCAAGAATCGATGAAATCACCAACAAAGTATCCGATATCGACTCCAGGGTATCCCTGCTAGAAGTTGCGAAGACAGAAGTCACAGCCTTAAAGGCTACACTCAATGAATTGCTAGAAAAGAATGCTTAAATATAATGAATAATTTCCAAATAAATGGCATTCCTCAAAACAAAGGAGAAAACCTTATTGAAATAAAAAAAACGTGTGGCACTCGGGGACTGCCGCGGAAAAGCTACTGCATAGCATTTTTTATTAGATTATGCAATTTTAATTACTTATTTATTTTACTTATGCAGTTTTTTTTCTTTGATATTAATTCAAGTTTTTCTTTGATATTAATAGATGGCGAGGCAGGCCTTATGATATTTTATTGGGCAAGCACAGCAAACAACAGCATTGCCCGGCGCCAAAAAACTTCCACAAGCTCCGTATAAGAACAGGTGCTGGGGTCTACAACAAATATACATAAAAAAAGGAAAAAAATATTAAAAAACATGAAAAATACGAGTGCTTGATTTGAACCGACGACCGCGGTGGTGTGTCGAACGTTAGTCCCGTGGCAAAAATTTAACACACTGCGCCGATCGATACTGGAATGGCGAAAATTGTGTTCTATTGGTATATGCACTCTCGTAAGGTTTTTTTCGTTACGGAATTTCTTGATCCGTCGCCGCACTCAAAGCCCGCATTAAAAGCTATACAATAGCTTAATAAAATCTATCGCTAAAGAATCTGGCTTCCCTTTGGACATAAACACCGACGTCGACTTTGTCACTCGCGCGGCCGCTATGAATAATGAAGAAGGTAAAAAGGCAAAACCCATTGTTTTCAAGATGCAGTCCCGGTATAAAAAAATATGATTTCTTAGCATTAATTAGAACAGAAATAAAACTAAGCTATTTGGGGTTTCCTGGAGAAAACGGAAAAGTTTATGTCAATGACCACCTTTCCAGTCGCAACAAATATCTACTACACCAGAAGAAAAACAGTACAAATACTGTTGAGTACGTATCTGCACAGTTATGGTTCGGTAATCGGATTCATCTCCTGTGTTGCACATTACATCGGAAGAGGCTTTAAAAAAATTACATAAGTGCTATAATTTTTTAGATGTTGGATAATTTATTTTTGTTAAAATTTAGTTCATCGTTGTAAACTAGTTTTATGTTCTTGATAATATTTGATCTTGTTTTGTGTTGTTGCATATATATAGGGTGTACGTATTATATTTCGCAGTGTCTTTGTTTTAGTTGATGTGACATAGGGTATGTCTTTTGTACTGTTGGTTTATTTTACGGCTTTGCGGGCCGCCGGTTAAGCGACCTGGTGCAGATGAATTGCATATTTTTTGTTGTTTATACGAACGCATGTACCTAGGCTCTCGTAGACTGGTAGCGGTAAATCACGGAATCCAATACATTGATTTTTATTTGCGAGTATTGGGTTTTAACTATGATAGTGCATACGTATTGGACAATGAATATTCTTGTCAATTCTCGCGAGACGCAGGTGATGGTAGTAAATCTTCTTTATTCTACCGCCTTATATTTTTCTATCCATCGATCTACAATTTTTACTCAAAAATACATTTTAGTTTTGCTCATTTTATGATAGAATCTGAAATATTTCTTTATTACGCGTATCATGGACAGTTTGTACATCTAAACGGTTTAGTGAAATTTCGGTTTACTTTGTTATTTAACCCTAAAAACTATTATCTATTTAAGCCGTTATCGTGTTAACTATATTTTATCAAAACGTTAGTGGTTAACGGACAAAAACCAAGGAGTTTTTAGCTAATGTTTTAAATTCAAATTATGATATAATATGCATTTCGGAGACATGGCTTTTGCCGGGTATTTACAAGCCGTGAGTTGTTTGATTCCCGTTATAATGTTTATAGGACGGATCGTGACTATCAAAATTAGGTATACGCATGGGAGGTGGAACACTGATTGCAATACGTAGTGAAATACGTGTTGATGTGCGACCTGAGATGCCAGGCCCTAGGTGTGAATTTCCTCGCGCTGATATCATATAGGGTAGTGGCACCAGTGGTCAGCCTCATAACGACTTTTGAAGTTTGGAAAGCTGGCATTTTTACAGAAATCGTCGGATAATGAAACGTAGTACATGATTGGATTAATTGTTTATTATAGTTTTTAAACAACATATGTTAAAAACAATCTTTCTCTTCATAAAATGTATATTTAAATTCTAACAAAAAATGGCACCTTTTGCCAGTGGTCAGCCTCTAAAATCCAATAATCAGCCTCGATGAACCCAGTATTCAGCTCTTATAACTATTAATAAGCATGAGATCAAAATGAGCATTATTTATATCAAAATCAACGATATTATTTAGTTCCCTCTTATTATTTATAGCTAAATTATCAAAACAAAAAAAACACCTGACCGAAATATTATTGCAAGCAAACAGTGACAGTACTTATTTGTGTTCTTATTTTTTGGAACTCAATCATAAAAACATCAATATTTATTTATACGAAAATCAACGACATTAGTATGTATGCATTTTTATATATTATGTCAATATTCCTCTCAGGTTTAATACACATAACACGAAAGAGAAATAGGTCACTAGCAAATCTACTAATAGTACCTACTTTGTAAAAAACTATTCTTGCAATCAAATAATTACAGTCCTAATCTTCCTATTTTTATATATCTCAACTCTCAATATATCAACAAACATTTCTCATATTTATCTATAGTCCAGTCGGAATAGCCATAATTTGGACCGACTTCTATTCTAAGACACCAGCGCTTAGCCAATTTTTTCCTAGGTAGTATAGACCCCCACGAATATGCCCTCCATTTGTCCCCGCTAGAACCCGTGTTTTGTAGCCAGGAAAATTGTTTAAACAAAGAAAAACCGGTTTTTTTGAGTTTTTTTGCTTGTAAACGGGGATTTTGAAAATTTTTTTGAATCAAAGTTGTTCATTAGCTTGCCCTCTACAAAATCAGTTCTATGAAAAAATAACGTGAGATTGTTAGTTTAGCAGTAAATTGCAATTATGTCGGTTTTACGTTTGCAACAATTCAACATGTTATAATAAACATTTTGATTTCTAAAGTAGTTTATCATGTGGGTAACGCCACTCCCAAGAGAGTCATGTAAAATTTATCGACCTGTGTCGCAAACCTTAGCAACAATTCTCAATCTCCGAAAAAAAGTACTTGCCTGTCACGTCTTTCCCAGAAGGCGCACAGCGGGAAAAAAAATTCAGGTGATTCGATTCACCAAGAATTTTGAGGAATCGATCGAGTAGAAAAAAATCGTTAATAAAAATGTTCGTTTTTGGACGATTTAAATTTTTTTTAAAAATTGACGTAGAATATTTTTTTTTAAACTAATGTATTTTTCTCTCCTCAACTCGAATATACTATTCTGAATATATATATATATATATATATATATATATATATATATAATATATATAATACTAATATACCCTGAGAATTCCGATTATGAACCGGAAGAAAAAAGGACGAAATTAATTTAATTAGAAATATAGAATACAACGCAGTCTTGTAATCGAATTTTAGTTAATAGTTTTGTAAATAATTTCTGTACATAAATAAACTGAATTTTTTAAATTTTCAATCGTATATTCGAGTTGAGGAGAGGTTAAATTATGGGATTTTTCCTAAGGACTTTGAAAAAGTTCATTTGAATAATATATGAATATGAGCTAGCAACTTTGTACTGACATAAAAAAGGGTTGGTGATAGAAGGATGAAAATTTTGGGTTATAAGTATTTTTGATGCCAAATAATAGAAACAAAATTGCGCGAGTCTCGAGGAACACTCGATTGGAACGAAGTTAAAAATATTTGTATACCACCCACTAATCCGCAATGGGCCCGCGACGCGATACACGGAACAATCTCCCTATATCATTTAAAAAAAAATTCTTACCCACCGATCTGGAACTAGCTCAGTGTGGAATGAGCCCAGTGCGGACGCTCTTAGTCCATTGCCACCACTCCCGGTCCATCAATCACCAAACAAAACTTTAATCCAAGTCCACAAACACTGCCGTCAGTGGTCGCCCACCTTGCTGCCCATGTAGCTACCCGCCCAGCTGCCTAGCTAGCTGCCCCGCTAGGTTGTGACAGTAAATTTTCGCCTAGGTCCCATCCGACATACCGTCCAAAAAGGTATTTCGTTCCAAAACACCCTAATTTTGTCTAAAAAAAGCAATCTGCAGAGGGCACCATATCTCGCCTAAGGTTATTGGTTTCAAAGTGTTCGTGACAATATAAACAACAAATTCATAAAAATCGGTGAAGCCGTCTCGGCGGAGTTCTATATCGGCTGAGTACTATGACACGAGATTTTCAT